ATAGTGTCGACGTCGGCGTTCGTGAGAGCCTGCTCGGCCTTGGCGAGCCATTCGATCACAAACACCTCTCCCTGGTCGGACGAGGTGGCCGCCTGAAGCCTCGCCTCATCGAGCTGAAGAGCGTCGGCATACTGTGACTGTGTGTACGGCTCAGCCTGGCCGCCCATGGCGCGAGTCGAGGCCATGGCCGAGGTGATGTCGAACCGTTTCGCAGTCGCTGTGTGTGTGATGAGGCGTCCAGAGGCGATCCGAAGGGTGATCGTGCGGGTGCCGATGAAACGGTGAAACGATGAAACGGTGGTGGGGGAGCAAGCAAGGTTGCTGGAGCAACAGCAAGCGTGTGGGTGGGGTGGAAGGACGAGTTGCGAGCTGGATCGTGCGGCCTTTTGTTGCGGTGGGCGGGCGAACGAGCGAGCGTGTGATCAAAGCCGAGCTCATCTGGGAATCGGCAGCCCGATCCAGGGCCCCCCAAAAAAAGGCGCACTGGCCTCCACCTTGCTTCTGCTGCTCGTTGGCCAGAGAGAAACAGAGAGAGAGAGAGAGCTTAGTGTGGGCTCGGTTGCGTGTACTACTTGCGTCGAAAAGCGCAGCAACTCCCTTCTCCTCCTTCCTCATCCTCCTTGCGTCGCCGACAGCAAGCAAGCAAGCAAAGGAACAACATCGACCGCGGCTGCCGTGCCGTGCCGTGCACAACATCATGGCAGGAGGCGACCAGCACGGCGACTTTGAGCCCATCAACATCCTCGACAATGTCACCGCCAACGCTGCAGCAGATGACAGCGCTCCCGTCGACATCACCATCAACGAGGAGGACCACAAGAAGGTCTTTGGTCAAGACTCTAGCGTGCCCTTCGGCACCAAATTGGAGCCTCTCCCACCCACAATAACGGGCTGGGACGTCCCCATTTCGCCGCCGCCAGAGTACGACTACAGCGAGGCTGCCGTCGACCCGGCAGCATTACCGGACCGATCCAAATCGACGCCCGTCGGCACCTTTCACCTCCTCCTCCCCACCGCCTTGCACGAGTCCGGCTTGCTCTTCAACCCGCAGCTCAGCCTCAGCAAGATCACGGCCCACCGCGAAAGCGAGCCCTCGGAGCCCTCGCAGCCCTCGCAGCCCTCGCAGCCCACACAGCCCGCCGAAGCAGCTGCAGCGTCTGCAGCGTCTAGTGCCGACAGCGTCCCCGCCCCTTGCCTCCCCGAGATCCAAGCATGCCTGCCACATCCCAACGCCCTCTTCGTAGCAGAGACGCTCGAGTGGCGTGTCATTCTCGACCAGTCCGACGTCTATCGGACCCCACTCCCCGACTTTGCCGTCTATGACGCCTCCCACCTCTTCGACGTCTGCAATTTGCCACCAAATTCCGTATCCGTCTTCGAGACGGCACCCACCTCAATACCGCCCCAAGAGCAGCTCCACCCCATCCGTCTGCTCGACCAATGGGACGCCGAGCATCCCGAGGCGCCATTGCCCGTCATCGAAGAGTTCAACATGCACAAGTGCTGGATCACCGGCAGGCGTCTCCTCTCCACCCCGCCAGACACCATTGTCTCCGTCATCGACCGCCACGTGCTGTCTCGCTTCAAAGAGTCGCGCGAAAACGACCCTGCCGTGGGGCTCACCGGTCCCGAAACCTTTGTCCGTGCCCTGCGCGTCCTCTTGCGCATCATCGGCAACTTTGTCCACGGAGAGCGACGACCCGCACCGACCTCCAGCATCATGGTCACCCAGAAGCTCGGCTGGGACCAGCATTCTTGTCAGATCTTCCTCGATCTCGGCTGGAAGGAGGACCGCCTGCCCGATGGCCGCAACGCCATCCGACCGCCCTTGGTTGCTCCAAAGTCGGCTCCTGTCGACGCTCCCTCGACAATGTCCAGCGACGACATCATACTGCAGCGACACATTCGTGCCTGGCTCGAGCTCCATGCGTGGCTCGCCTTCCACCTCCAGGCTTTGCAAATCTCGAAACCCGCTTCCTCCCTCTTGCAGAACACGGAGCCCACCCTGGCGACCCAACTCAAGGTCGAGTCTGCATCCGAATCGGTCATCGAGATGATCCGCGAGCAGCGCGATCACCTCGATACGAGCCTCAATCGCAACCTCTCCAACGACACGCTCGCCGCCCTCTTTGCGCTCGGCGTCTCCAGCGCCACGCGGGACGAGCTCGTCAAGTTTGGCTACCTCGTCAATCTCGAGGCCAATCCCAAGCGCGCAGCCGACCTCTTTGCCAGCCTCGACGAGGTCTACGAAGCGCAGCGACGCACTTCGCGCATCATTCAAGAACTCGTCGCGTACGAACGCAGTCAGGGAAAATACTCGCCTCGCGACCTCGACAAGGCTTACGAGCGTCTCAATCTCACCTCCACCCATCTCGGACCGGACGTCGACCGCGACAGCATTCCGCACGACTTTGTCGCAGACCAATACAAGGCCCGCGCCCGTGAGGTGCTCGTCAATGCTGATGTCGCCGAGCACGCCGCGGTCAAGGACGCGCTCAAGATCATCACCGCCCATCGGGGCATGCCACCCACCCTTGTCCAGGCGCTCGAAGAGGATGTCGACATGGACGTCGATCAGGCTTACACCACGCTCGATGCCAATCGCGATCTCGACGACGCCACCCTCCTCGCCATCTATGATCTCTACATCGCCGACGCACCGGCGCGGCGCGACTTGCTCCGCCATGCGCTCCGTGCCATCGCCGAGGATCGCAACAGCAACTACCTGCGCCACTTTCTCAAGACTGGCGAGAAGGATGCCGCAGCCAACGAGGGCTGGCAGCAGATGCCGTCCGCTGACGTGCCCGCAGGCATCGACAACATCGGCAATACCTGCTACCTCAACTCGGTCCTGCAGTACTTTTTTTCGATCACCGAGATCCGATCGCGCGTGCTCAGGGTCGCGCCAAGCGTTGAAGCGGAGCAGGACAGCCTATCTGCAGCGGTTTCGGAACGGAGGGTAGGTGGCCAGCGCATCACAGCGCGTGAGCTCGAGCGCAGCAGGCGCTTCGTTGCTCAGCTCGCCCAGCTCTTCCATCATCTCATTTACGCCAACGCGCTATCGGTGCGGCCCGAGCGTGAGCTCGCGTATCTTGCCCTCGTGTCTTCGCGCGCCGAAGAGCTCGAGGCTGAGGTTCATCCGTTCACGGAGGCGCCGTCTTCCATCACGGCGGAGACAATCGAACCAGCACCCGCCGATGTTGCTGAGCCAGGAGCGATGTCCGCGCCGACTGACGATGCGGGCGAGTCGATGGACACCACTGGTGACGGGCCAGAGGCGGCAGTTGCAGCGGCGATCGATCCGCTGGAGCCAGCAGCGTCGAGTGCGCCTCCACTGCCACCTCGTCCAGCGCGCAAGCCCTCCGCGGCCCCCGTCCCGCCACCGGCTCGCCGTAACTCGCTGATGCAGCTGGGCGCGCAGCAGGACGTGTCCGAATGTCTGGACAACTGCATGTTCCAGCTCGAAGTCGCGCTAGCCGTCGGTCAAGACGGAGCTTCCGATGCGAGCAACGGCATGGACGTGGACGATGGGCAAGGGGCTTCCGGCTCGACTGGTGCTGCGTCGTCGGGCGACAGCACGAGAGAGGACCTTCTCTCGAGGCTGTTTCTGGGCAAAACGTGCCAGCGGATCGAGGCGGACGGGGTGGCAGCCGGCGGCTCCGAAGACCGAGGCGGACGACCGCAGCAGGTGAAGCAGCCAAGTATGCACATCAAGCACGAGGTGTTCAAGATCGTGCCCATCGACGTACTCGAGGAAGGGCGCGACATCTATGACGGCTTTGACGGATTCTTTGACTCGGACACGTTTGTGGCGACGTCGGGGGCGGTTCAGAGGAGGTCGGTGACGCTGCTGTCGGCGCCGCCGTTGCTGCAGATTCAGCTGCAGCGCGTGCAGTACGATCGCGCCACGATGCGCGCGTTCAAGTCGCAGGAGCACCTGGACATGCCCGAGGTGCTGTACATGGATCGGTACATGGATCTGGACGCCAACGATCCCGAGAACGCGCCGCGGATGGCGATGCGCGAAAAGTACCAGGCCAAGCGGCGAAGGATCGAGGAGCTGCGTGCGCATCTGGCAGCGTGCAAGGACGGAGCGTTTACGCTGACGCAGACGCTCAGTCAGGCTGCCAATACGGTGGAGGAGCTGGCGAGGCTTCCGTCGCTCGCCGATATCGAAGCGCAGCTGGCAGAGATTCAGGCTGAAGCGGCTCGGCGTGGAGATGCGGAGGTGCCGCCAGCGGTCTCGCCTCGATCGCGTGCCAAGCAGATTGCCGACAACGGCGTGGACACGATGGCCACCACCCCCGACACTTCCGACATTATCAACACGGCGGTGCAAACTGGGGTGTCTGGACTGGTAGATGCGGGGCTGGAGACGTTGTTGCGCGACGAGGCGCAGGTGCTGCGCGAGCAGATGGAGCAAGCCAAATCCGAGATTGCGGCGCTCAAGAGCGAGATGGGCGCAATCTGGGCAGGCGAGGAGCGATACACGTATCGGTTGGTGGCGGTCTTCATGCATCGGGGCGAAGCGAGTCACGGCCACTACTTTTTGAACCTGCGCGGGGGCAAGGAGGACAAGTGGTTCAAGTACAACGACTCGGCAGTCACGTCCACTTCGCTCGGCAGCGTGCTGCGCGACAGTTCGGGCGCAACGCCGTATCTGGTCACGTATGTCCGCGAGGATTATGTGCAGCTCGTCGATCCCATTTGCAGAGTGATCGAACAGGATACGGCGCAAGAAGTGGACGGGGCAAAGGGGTGGGATGTCGAGCTGCCCAAGTTGCCGGAGGTGGTGACGGAGGTAGCGAGGGATGCGGGTGTAGAAAGTCCTGTCAAACGCGCGCGCACAGATCACGCGTGAGCAATGCAAGCGCATCAAGAAGCAAAGAGTGCGGTGTGCATTGCGGTGCGGTGCGGTGCGGTGTATGTGGGGCGATAAAGAAGTGAGAACGAGTGCCAGGACGCCGCTCTTGCCGGTGATACAGTCTAGATAAGGGTTACTACTCGGCAGCAACAAAGACAATGTACCCCTTATCCGCCAAGACGCCCCTGTCCCTGATCAGCGTGGTATACTTGAGGGCCCACTTTGGCCTCAAGCGCTTGGGAGCCTTTTTGGGCATCTTGTGCTCGAACTCGTCCATGAGTGCAGGGAGGGTTCTTTGTGGCAAGACATCGCGCCTGTCGCTGTGGGCTACGAGCTGGATGCCCATGCTTGCGCAGTACTGGCTGAAGTGGCGATCAAACGCGCACGGGTCCTGCTTGACATTGATCGACACGAGTCGCGGTCGCCGTGCGGTGCTGACGAGCGAGTACTCGATGTTCCAAAACGTGCCCTCGGTCGATACATCGCGCGAAGCTACATCGGCCGAGGCGAGTTCCGGCTCAGCAGTGCTGGTCGACGCAGCATCCGTCGTGCTCGACAGCGGAATGGCAGGCGAGAATAGCGGCATCGATGGCGGCTGAACCGGCGGATCGAGCGAACCTAGCAATGCCTCCAAGCTCGACGGCGAAATGTCGGCCAGTCCCAGCGAGAAGAGCTGCGGGTTTTGCGAGACGTGTTGCCACACCTGTGCGACTTGGCCAATCGCCTCGGTCGACGTGGACGTTTTCGAGTCGAGATCGAGCGTGGGGAACGACAGGACGAGCGTGTCGATGGTGATGATGCCCGTTGTGCGCGTGAGCCTCGTAAGCGCCTCGTCCACCAAGCCCGCATCCACCTCGTCGAGAAAGAAGAACTTGGCCGTGATCTCGTACGAGCTGCGATGGTCGGGCGAGCACGGATCCGCGACGGGGTTCGTAATCGTCGCAGGATTGGGCAGTGCCAATGTCCCGCTGTGCGCGTCCCAGTAGTACGAGATGTACGGCCTCTCTGCATCGCCCGTCGCCGCAAAGCCCTTGTTGACGGCAAGCGCCGACGACGAACCGTTGGGCGCGGACGAGGTAGGCATGGTGGCTAGAGGATCACAGCCCGACCCTGCGCCAGAGTTCGCGGCGGCGGGGGTGTAGTCGTCCGGATGACCGTCGAGTGCAAAGTGCAGCGTCTGGTGGATGGCGTGTGCGAGCTCACCGTCGGCCGACGGCTTGAGCGAGCGAGAGACATCGTGCGTGTGGATGTAGAGCGCATGAAACGGCTCTTCCTGTGCTGGTGCGGCTGTCGTTGAGGACGACATGGTCGACGTGCAGAGAAGGTGACGGGCGAAGGATGGAGGTGCGGAGGAGAGCGAGGGGAGCTGGCTAAAGTCCGGCTCCCAACGGCAATGCAGCCAAAACGTCGAATTGCCCGCCGCGAATCGCGCTTTCCAACCGCCAAAAAGAAGCGGAATGCAGAGCTCGGCTCCGTGCGCCAAGCTGAATAGTGTGAGGCCACGCTTTGTAACAAACGGGACTCGAGCAAATCGCAATCGCCGCTCTACACAATCGTTGGGCCGATGCGATGCGATTCACCTCCACGCCCAACTGGCCGACCAGCCGAGCGCGCACTGACGCTCGCTTGCTTTGGTCCATCTTCTGGCCGAGACACCACCCTGCCTTGCAACCACATTCCATCGCATCGACGCCCCCCCTTCCGCGATGGCTCCTTTGGCATCCACATAGCTCCCACCACGCAACAGCGCTCCAACCATGCAGCGCAACGGATCGGCCGATTCCAATCCGTGGGATGCAGAGCCATCGTATGCGCAGCGCATGTCCACCTACCATGCGGATCAGCATCGCTCCTACGACCAGCAGATGCAAGACGTTCTCGACTCGCCGCCCGCACAGCAACCCAACGGCCTGCATCATGATGCCTCCCTTTCCACCAGCAAACCTGCAGCACATGACGATCTCGACGACGACGACGACGACGACGATGACCAAGACTTTGTCTACGCCGGCATCGACACCGCCGCAGCCATCCGCACAGCCACGCCGGGTGACAGCAACGCGTCCATCGACTTGGGCTCCGACTCGTACAGCGCCCGTATGAAGGACATCCTTGGAAGCGATGATGAGCAGCAGCTCGACATGGCTGACGCCGACGACCAACACGCCGGCTCCAGTGACCATGCACCTGCCTCTTCTCCGAGAACGCAGAGGGCGTTGCCGCTGCCTGCCGACGGTGACCAATCGGCGGATGCGCCTCCGAGCGACAGCGGATCTTCATTTCGCTATCCGCACCCGCTTCCCAACGACGTCAGCTTCGACACGCGCTCCGCCTCTTCGCTTCAGAATCGCCGTCCGCTCTCGTCCCTGCCGTCGTCCTCGCGCATCTTTACGCCAAGATCCACCTCCGCAAATGGCCTCTCGCTCCTTCGCCAGTCCCACACCATGACATCTGCATCCACTCCCCAACGCCCAAGCGCATATCCGTCGCTGTCCCGCCTCCGCGCCACCGTCGGCAGGTCTACCGCAGCGGCTCTTGCAGTCCCGGCATTTGCACAGCTGCACTCCCACACCTCGCCGCTCGGCGCTCCGGGCTCGCCTTCGTCGTCCTCATCCAGACGCAAACCGCGCTCGCCTCTGCCTCCAGACTTCTTCGCCTCAGCGCCAATCTCGTCTCAAAATGACGACGCTAGCAGGTCAGCATTGGCGCACTCGTCCACCCCGCAGCGTTCGCGCCAGAGCTCCTTCTCCACCAGCGTCGGCAGCTCCGTCCGAGGCACCACCAAGCGCCGTCGCGCACGAGCTTCCTTCCCCTACGGCGGCACACTCACAAGTACCACCTTGCCACCAGCGCAAAGCGAAATCTCGCTTCTCAGCGACCGCTCTTTCCCCTCGTCAGCACAGCGCGGTGCAAAGGCAGTCCATGATCATCAGGATGCACCCTCAGAGCACGCAGACAAGAGGCCAGAGCTCAAGGACACCATGCTCAACGAGCGCGACGAGCTGGCCCGCGACTTTGTCCAGTGGTCCGTCCTGCGCCGCATCCTCGCTGCTGCCAAGTCGGCCCCGGACGCCCCGGACCCGATTCCAACCGTGCTGGCGGTGGCGGGAGGACTCATCGCTGTCGGAACGCAGGGTGGCAAGACCGTCGTGTGCGATCTGGCCCAGGAACCCGTCGCCTCGTGCGGTCACGACGGCCGCGGCCACGGCGATGCCGTCACCGCACTCGCCCTCTCGTCCGACCACTCGTTCCTCGGCGTAGGCCATGCCTCGGGCAACATCTTTCTCTACGACCTCTCCCACCCAGCTCGTGCCGCGCGCCATGTCCCGCCCGTGCCACTCTCCTCCGTCAAGGCGGGCAAGAGGGAGGGCCACCTGTCCGGCTCGGCCATCGTCCACATCGGCTTCGTCGGCCTCCGCCACACCGCCATCGTGTCGGCCGACAACAAGGGCCTTGCCTTCTACCATGCGCTCGGCAAGATCCTCGGCGTCAGCTCCAACGACACCCTCCGACTGCTCGGCAAGTACCCGCAGTACGAGCACGAGGATGAGCTGGGTCTCGCCGATGCAAAGCGCAGAAGCGCCATCTTCCAGCTCACACCGCTGCCGCTCGGGCCCAGACCGCATGCCGCCGACGAGACCACTTTCATCGCCATGATCACCCCCGCCAAGATGGTCTTGGTCGGGCTCAAGCCCGCGCCAAGGACGTGGTACCGCAAGATGAACACCACCAAGCACACCGAGAAGGGCGGCGAGGGCGTCGTGGCTGATGAGGCTGCACAGCCCCAGCCTCCAGGCTGTCTGGCATGGTATCCGGCTTCGACCGAGACGGACGGCAAGAGGAGGCGGCAGACAAATCCGGTGCTCGCGTTCTCTTTTGGTCGCAACTTGCATCTCGTCAGGCTCGTCGTGCGCAGGATCGAACGGCGTCCCGATGCTCGGACGGCGCGCAACGGCACCCTGCCGCCAGCGGAGGTGGTGGAGGAAATCGAACCCGTCGAACTCACCGGCGAACAGGGCATCGAGGAGCCAGACGGAATTGTCGCACTCCAGTGGTTCAGCCCGGATCTGCTCATGCTCACCACGCGCACCGGGCTCGCGCTGTTCGATTGCCGTGCTGGTAAAGTCACGGAGCGCATGCGCAACGGAAGCGCAGCCGTTGTTCTGGCGAGGACCGTCGAGCAAAAGTCACTCGATGCCGTCCTTCTCGGCAAGCCGTACGATCCGCACGCCGAGATCCCGGAACGAGACGAGCAGGGTCAGACAGAAGAGCGACAACGCTCGTGGGCGGTGAATCACAGCATCCGCGTCTCCAAGGGGCGCTCGTTCTTCCTCACCACCAGCGACCTTGTGGTGGGCACGTTGATGTCGTGGGCAGACCGGCTGCTGCTCTACGTCTCGCGCGGCGACTTTCTCTCGGCCATTGAGCTCGCCACGCTCTTCCACCAGGGCCGCTTTCTCGGCTCGGCGGTCGGGCTCCCCTCGGACCCGAGCGAACGCACGCGCATCGTGGCGGACAAGCTGCACGAACTCATGGCCGCCTCGGCCCAATACGCCTTTTCGCCCGACAGGCTCACGGACGACACCCATGTCACGCCGGACGGCAGAGGCGTCGACCGCACCGAGCTGTTTCAGGGCCTGGCGCGGGTCTGCGCGCGCGCGTGCCTGTCGCTCGGCAAGCTCGACTTTCTGTTCGAAACGCTCTATGACAAGTACGAGGACAACGGGATCGAGGCGATCTTCGTTGGGCAGATGGAGCACTTTATCGTCTCGGGCGAGCTGAGCAGCTTGCCCATCCCTGTGGTGCAGCGGCTCGTGGCGTTCAGACGGGATCGCGAGGAGTACGATCAGGCGGAACGCATCATCTGGCATGTGGATCCCAAGTCGCTCGATCTCGACCAGGCCCTCTCGCTGTGTCTCGACAGGAGGCTGTACGACGCCTTGATCTACGTGTTCAATGCCGCGCTCGAGGACTATGTCTCGCCGGTCATCGAGCTTCTGCACCCCGTGCGCCGCGCGGTGGGGAGGAGGTGGAAGGAGCAGCATCTCGTCAGCGCGGACGAGGCAAGTGCAGACACAGATCCGTATGCGCATGTCCGGGTCAAGGATCATGACGCCGATGCGGCGAGTGCCAGCCCAGCGGTGGCGGATTGGGAGGCGGAGGAGCGCGATCTCGAGGACGGCTATCGCGTCTTCTCGTACCTCTCGGTGGTGCTTACGGGCAACCGGTATCCGAGCCAGGAGCCGTTCGAGCACGCGGAGCAGGCGGACAAGGCCAAGAGCTCGATCTACAACTTTGTCTTTTCCGGCAGCTGTATGCTGTGGCCGCCCGGGCCTGGTGGGAGGCTGGTGCTGTACGGCCTGCAAGACCGTCCGGACGAGCCGGAGCACGTGGGCAACAGTGCGGAGCACGAGCCGATCTATCCGTACCTGCGGCTGCTGTTCGAGTTTGACGCCGAGGCGCTGCTGGATGCGCTCGACCTCGCGTTCGAAGACGGCTTTCTCGACGACGAGGATGTGGTGGGCAAGAGGATCAGCCGGCAGCTGGCGGTCGATGTGCTGCTTGAGCTCGCCCGCTCGCAGGGCGCGGCGGACCGGCGAGCGCCGGCGCTGCCGCTGACGGCGCGCGTGTTTGTACACATCTTTGTGGCGCGCAACGCGCCCAAGTATCCACAGTTCATACACCTGCCGCAGCACCACGTCGACCAGCTGCTGCGGTCGCTTGCGATCCCGCTGCACGACGGCGACGGCGACGAGGAGGAGGTTGAGACGGTCGAATCGACGCGCGCCGACCGCGAGCTCGCAGCAGAGTGCCTGCTCTCGCACTACAAGCCGCGCTTCGACGATGCATGGCTCGACACGTTCGAGCGTGCCGGCTTCGGCCGCATCCTCAGGTCGGCGTTCAGGCAGGAGGACAAGTGGGACCGTCTGCTGGGCATGTATCTGCGCGACCACCTGCAAGGCGGCGCCGCAGCGAGCCAGCTGGACGCCGACGCCGTGGACGAAGGGCCGGGGGATGCCTTCGCGCACTTTGAGGAGACGCTGTTCAACGCCTCGCGACGCGACACGGCCAGGAGAGACGAACTGGTGACGCGGCTGCACGAGCAGCTGGTGGACCACATCGCGGAGCTGCTCGATCTGGATGCGCTCAAGACCGCCGCGATGCTCGACCGGTTCCACCCGGACCGGCACGCGCAGGTGCTGCAGCGACTCGCGCAGCTCGATGACAAGCGCCACCTGCTGTATCTGCAGTGCTTCTTTGAGCCGATGCATGTACGCAGGGCCGTGTCTCAGCCTCGGTCGGACGAGAGCGGCAGCGATGGGCTGGACTGGGTGCATCACAAGCCAGCCGACGGCGCCGACGCGGGCGCGTACAGCGCCGATGTGGGCCGCGCGGATCCGGACCACCTCGAGGCGCGCGAGCGTCAAGTGTACCTGGACCTGCTGCGGCGGTACGAGCCGGCGGCCGTGGTGCGCAATCTCGACGCACGGGAGGCGGGGTACTTTGACCTGGAGCAGCTGGTGCGCGCGTGCCGCGAGGCGGACGTCGCGGTGGACTCGCGCGTGGCGGCCAACAGCGATGCGCTGCTTTGGGCGCTCGACCGACTCGGACGCCCGGGCGAGGCGTTCGAGGAGCTGGATGCGGCGTGTGTGCGCACTGCGCAGTCGCTCGTGCTCGTCGCCGAAGAGTGCACGGCGGATGTGCTGCTGGCCGACGTGCGGCGGTGCATCGAGGTAGCTGTGCGGCTGTGCATCGAGCGCGCGAATGCATTCGGCGGGCACGAGAGCGACGACGAGGCGCCACCGCCGACTGCGCTCGATACGGACGAGGTGTGGTTCAGGCTGCTGCGCAGCATGGTTCGTCTCGTACACGATGTGGCGCACGGTTCTTGGCGTCGCGCCGCCCCAGGCTCGGAAGGTGGGGAGAAGGATCTGCTGAGCGGCGTGCGCGATATTGTGCAGGACACACTGTCGGATCTGATCTCATCGACGGCTGCCGAGGCGGTATCGTTCCCCGCGCTGTTCCGGCGGCTGACGAGTGGCGCGGAGGAAGGGAAGGAGGGAGGTGCCGAGTACTACGCCGAGATCCGGGGGGTGCTCGATGGCATGCTGTCGGCCTACCACCTGCGTGCCGAGCTGTTGGGTATCACCAACAAGCTGTTTGAGCGCGACACGTTCCGGCAGTTCCGCAAGCTGCATGCGCAGCGACGGCACGGCTGGCGACCGTCTGTCGGCGTCGGTGCACGCTGTGCCTCGTGTGGGCTGGTGGTGCTTGGACCGAAGCGTGCCTCGACTGCTGCTGCCGAGGTGGATGTGGGGCGCGAGGTGGAGGTGGGCAGCGCCATGCTGACGCCGCAGGTGCTGCAGCATCGCCGGGCCAAGTCGCCGTACGACGGCAAGGCGGCACCGCTGGCATCGCCGCGCCTGGACAAGGGCAAGGGCGTGGTGCGCTCGGCGTCGAGCGAGATTCGTGCAGGCGCGGATGATGTGGATGGCTACTTTGCGCCGAGCCGCGAGATGAGCCGGAGCTCTTCGTGGGCAAACGGCGGGGCGAGCGCGCTCATGACGCGCACCAATTCGACCGCCAGCATCGCGATCCGCATCAATGACGAGCCGCCCCAGACACAGGAAGCCGAGCCGCAGGGGGAGGCGGAAGAGGAGGAAGAGGGGGATGCAACGCTGACGGCGGCGCAATTCATGCCCGCTTGGCAGGAGGAGGAGGTGGAAAGGACGCAGCGCATCGTGGTGCAAAAGTGCGGCAGGGTGTTTCACGAGAGCTGCTGGCACGATCGGCGCGCAATGTAATGTGCAACTGCAGTCCAAATTCCAGCAAAGTGTGTGTGTGTGTGTATGGTGAACCGATTCTGGGGAGAGTGTGGTTAGGACGAGGGCTTGGTGCCGAATCCGCCAGTGGAACCGAAGCCGCCCGCGCCGCGAACGGTGTCGTCGAGGCTGTCGACTTCCTCCACCTCGGGCGTGGCGATCTTTTCGATGATGAGCTGTGCGATGCGATCGCCCTCGTTGACTGCGCCGATCAATGTCAGTGTCCCGACCTTGTTTACATGTGTGTATGGGTGGGTATTTGCTTACCTGTAAAGTCCGCGTCACCGAGGTTGAACAAAAGCACGCCGAGAAGGCCTCTGTAGTCGGCGTCGATGACGCCCGCGCCCGTATCGATGCCATGCTTACTTGCGAGACCCGAACGCGGGGCGACACGGCCATAGTGGCCCTCTGGGATGGCGAGGCAGATGCCGGTCTGTACGACCTTGCGACCGCCGCGCGGGATGACGACCGCCTCGGACGCATACAGGTCGTAGCCCGCCGCACTCGCCGAGCCGCGCGTGGGCAGCTTGGCGAGCGGATGCGCGGGATGACGTTGCACGAGCAGACGCAGCGCAGACGAAGATGCGGAGACTGTCATGTTGGAGGCGTGTGTGAGCTTGGCGGTCTTTTGAGGACGCTCGGTGTCGGTGGGAGAGGAGGTGGTCATCAGGATGGTGCTCGTGGTGGTGAGCCGTGTTGGTCTTCGTGTGCAACCCAGCAACAAAGGCGTCGCCCAAAAAAGTGCGGTCGCGCAGCGCGTAAATTGAAGTGACGCGTCTGATGGGCGCACGCCATATTCCAAAATGTAGTTATGTCGATAATGTAGATCTGACATCTGAAAATTCGCGCTCAGCGTGTTGTTTGGCCACCAAAAGTGGAGGATCGGTGGCTCAGCCAGCAAAATCGGTCGACTTTATCGCCACCACCACCCCGAGCGACACCACCACCACCACCACTACCAGTTCGCAAGGGATCTTTAGCTGCGCACATCGCACATCGGAACGAACACCAAACCACACGCCGTTCTCCATGGACTAGTGCGGCGACCGCACATCGGTCTTTACAGCCACATCAAGGCCACACCTACGCAGCCCAAAGCAACCGCAACCCTCTCTGTTGCTCCTTATCAAACCACGCTGGCGTAGCGACGCCCAGTCTCAGCTTGCTCCACCACATACAACCATGTCGACCTACTCGGCCGCCACTCGAGCTGCTGCGCAGCGCGCAGGACACGCGCGCACAGCCTCGCTCGCGTCCCCCATCCACGCACACGCACGCCACCTCCGCCAGCCCCTCACGCGCTTCGCTGCCCGCCGTCCCGGCGCGCCCGATGCGCTCTTTGCAGCACACTTCACCGCCTCGTCGAGCGGCAGCCGCCTCATGCACGTGCGCGCCATCTCGTTCAACTCGGTCCCCAAGGCCGCCTTCCGCGTCGTCCGCCTGCCTGCCTACGGCCTCGCCGCAGGCGGCGGCGCGCTCGCCTACGCCAACTACAAGGTCGACGAGTTCAAGGACATGCTCGGCCGCTCCTACGGCCGCCTCTCCGATCGCGCCAAGGAGGCCTACTCGGGCATCTCGGAGCTGGGTGCCGATGCACTCGAGAACGCACGCGACTCGTGGGAAGCTCTCAGCGAGCGTCTCGACGCTATTGAGCTCCCCGACACGCCTGGATTCCTGCGCAATCTGTTTTCGGGATTCAGCAACTCTCAAAGCAGTCAAGATGCATCGGGCGCATCAAAGTGGTCTGCTGGCGGCGGAAGCGGAGGCCCCGATCCCAATGGCACCTCGGCCATGGCCGGCGCAGCTGCCGTCGTTGCATCGTCGCTCTTTGGCGATGACGAGGCTTCCACCGACGGCACCGCAGACACGGCATCAAAGACGAGCACCGAGGAGCTCATGCTGCTGACACGCAAGCTCATCGAGGTGCGCAACATCCTCAAGGACATCGACCACGAGTCGGACCAGCTCACGCTGCCCTCGATCGTCGTCATCGGCTCGCAGAGCAGCGGAAAGAGCTCCGTGCTCGAGGCCATCGTCGGCCACGAGTTCCTGCCCAAGGGCAACAACATGGTGACGCGGCGCCCCATCGAGCTCACGCTCATCCACACTCCCGCACAGCCCGGCCGCGCCACCAAGGACACGCTCGTCGAGTACGCCGAATTCCCCGGCCTCGGCCTCGGCCGCATCACCGACTTTTCGCACGTCCAAAAGACGCTCTACGACCTCAACATGGCCGTGCCCGCGGCCGAGTGCGTTAGCGACGAGCCGATCGAGCTGCGCATCCACAGCCCGCACGTGCCGGACCTCACGCTCATCGATCTGCCCGGCTACGTGCAGATCGCCAGCATGGACCAGCCCGACGAGCTGCGCGAAAAGATCCAGACGCTGTGCCAAAAGTACATCCAGGAACCCAACATCATCCTCGCCGTGTGTGCCGCCGACGTCGACCTCGCCAACTCGCCCGCGCTGCGCGCCAGCAGGCAGGTCGACCCGCTAGGACTGCGCACCATCGGCGTCGTCACAAAGATGGACCTCGTCCCGCCCGAGGTGGGTGCCGCCATCCTGTCCAACAACAAGTATCCGCTCTCGCTCGGCTACGTGGGCGTCGTGTGCAAGAACAGCCTCGGCATGTTCCAGAGCGCACAGGGCCACGACCGCGCCGGACAGGGTCGCATGGCCAGCATGGTGACCAAGCAAGAGTCGGACTACTTCAACGCCAACCGCGAGCACTTCAAGGCGCCGGCGCGCGGTCGCAATGCGGGCGTCGAGCCCATGACGGGCACGGACACGCTGCGTCGGCGGCTCATGACGGTGCTCGAGGAGAGCATGGGTTCGTCGCTGCACGGCATCGCCAACGCGGTGCAGGTGGAGCTCGAGGAGGCGTCGTACCAGTTCAAGGTGCAGTACAACGACCGCACCATCACGGCCGAGTCGTACGCCGCCGAGACCATGGACGCGCTCAAGCTGCGCTTCAACGAGTTTGCGGCGCACTTTGGCAAGCCCGAGGTGCGTGCGCTGCTCAAGCACGCGCTCGACGAAAAGGTCATGGACATCCTCGCGCAGACGTACTGGAGCGATGCACGCACGCCGGAGCTGGCGCAGCTGGCGGATGCGCGCAAGCTGGCGCCGGACCAGCTCGACAAGTACTGGCAGTACAAGCTGGATGCGTCGTCGTCGGCGCTGACCAAGGCGGGGATCGGGAGGATGTCGACGCAGCTCGTGGTGGATGCGATCCGCACGCAGATCGAGCATCTGGCACGGAGCGAGCCGTTCAACCACCATCCGGAGGCGGCCGAGCGCATCGTGGCGTTTAGCAGTGCGATTCTGCGCGAGCGCTTCGGACTCACCGCCGACCAGGTGGAGAACTGCGTCAAGCCGTTCAAGTACGAGGTGGAGGTGGAGCCGGCCGAGTGGGAGGCTGGGCGGCAGCGGTCGGTGAGCCTCGTGGAGCGCGAGCTGGACATGTGCGATGCGGCGTTCAACGGGATCAAGAAGCTGCTTGGCGGTAGACGGCTCAAGGGCGCGATGGAGTATGTGACGCATATGGAGGAGCGCGAGCGGCGGCGGGTGCAGGCGCGTCTGCGCGCGCGCGAGCAAGCCGACTCGTCCGACGCATCGATGGATGAAGACGACAGCAACGACCCTACTCGACCGGACTACAATTCGGCGCTACTGATCAAGGCGCGCGAGGCATTGTTCCTGAGCGAACGCTCGCGTATGTTGCGTACGCGTCTGGGCAGTTTGCGATCTCGACGCTGCAAGACCGGTCCTGAGAGCAAGGCCTTTTGTCCGGAGACGTTGCTCAACATTGTTGCCGAGAAGCTGACGTATACGGCGGTGATGTTTATCAACATTGAGCTTCTCGCCGAGTTCTTTTACCAGTTTCCGCGCGAGATCGACGCGAAACTCATGCACCATCTGGATGCCGACCAGCTCGCTGCGTTTGCGCGCGAGAATCCGGCGGTGAAGAAGCATCTGGATCTGCAGACGCGCAAGCACAAGCTCGAACATGTGTCGAGCGTCATCGGCGAGCTGGTCAAGGTGTACAAGCAGAAAAATTCCGCTTCAAGATGGGCGTTTTTCTAGATGGCACCCTGTCATGGAATCGTATACCCCCCTCTCCTCCGCCTTGGTTCATGGGCATGTGCAAGTGGTGCGAGGCTGTGTGTGCGGTGGATGCACGTGTAGGCTGGCTTGTGGCTAGTGGCTCTTGCTGAGAGCCAGAGATGACTTTGGCTACTCTAGGTGGGCTCGCAGCATGTCGTGCCGAAGTTCGAGGCCCGAGCCTGCTGTGCCTGCTGTGCCCGCACTTGTCAACCGCCTCTGCTGCGGGATGACAAGACGTTGGCTCGACTGCTTCGGGGGGCTCCATTTCGGGCTCACGCGCCTCATGTCGGCACACTATTGCGCTCACCACTCCGACACACAACCTCTGCCCGAATCCACCCTGCGCTTTCGACTCACAATCGCCCACACCGACAAGCACGTGCAACTCCCGAGACAGAATCTAACGCATCCATTACCTCGCATCGACGCTGCATCTATACAGGCGCGCGCCAGAACCAAGTGAAGCAAAAAGAAAAAAAGAGCGTGTGAGAGCATCGCCATCCTACGCCGTCGGCGTGTTGGAACCGGACGCGGCACGACTGGCGCCATTCGTGGGCGGACAGCAGCTCTCGGTCTGGCACGAGTTATCCTTGCCGCACGCAATCAGACACGCCGTGTCTACCTTCTGCACCTCGTTCTCCACCAGCGTACCCTGTGCAGTCCTCAGCCTTCCCTCGTCGTCGCTCTCTGCCACCTGGACACCGCTGAGGATCGCCGCCTCGCGCAGTCCGCCGGGTACAAACTCGGGCTGGATGGTGCTCGAGTGGATCCCCCACGCATGCAGGTTGTCGCGAATGTGCGCAGCAATGCTCATGTACTTGTCCGTCTGCCCCGAACTGCAGTCGACAAGCACATGCACCGACGCCACAATCTTGCTCTCCGAAAGCTGCCACACATGCAGCTCGTGCAGGTTGATCACGCCCTCCACCGCCTGGATCGACTTGCGCACCGCCTCGAGCGACACCGACGCCGGCACACCCTGCAGCAGGATGTACGACGCCGACTTGACCAGCGGTAAGGCCGAGTGGAAGATGATGATGGTGATCAGGAACGAGATCGCCGGGTCCGAGTAGAATCGCCACCATGCCGACGAGTACATGATGAAGAGACCGGCTGCGATCACGCCGACGTTGCCGAGCGCATCACCGAGCACGTGGAGGAAGACGCCGCGCATGTTCATGCTGCCCTCGCCGTGCGAGTGTCCACCACCGTGCGAGTGGCCGTGGCCGGGTGCATCGTGGTTCACGGCGTGCGAGTCGCGCTCGGCGGAGCGGTCGTTCTTGGGTGCCTTGGGCGTGCCGGCTTCGAGATCGGCGGCAGCGCCATCGGTGGCGCCGTAGTCGTGCGAACCGTTGGCAAGGAGGCGCGAGCGCTCGTTGTGTGCGCCACCGTTGAGCGAGGTGATGGAGTTGGAGTGCTGGTGCCTGGTGCCGGCATCGTAGCCGAGGTCGTGGGCGGTCTGCACGACGAATGCACGCGTCTGGGCCGGGTGTCCGAGGATGGAGCCGACGCTGTCACCGCGGCCGCGTCCACGCTTGGCAGCCGAGCCGGTGGCGGCGGCAGCGTCGTCGTTGGCCGAGTCCCTGATGGCGGGCGAGTCGTGCTGCGGGGCGTCGTGAGAGTGGCTGTGGCTGTGCTCGGCGTCGGTGCCGGGGAGTTGGTGGGAGTGAGCGTGGTCATGAGGGCCGTGCGAGTGACCGCCGTGACCGTGAGAGTGGCCGTGACCTCCGTGGGCGTGACCGTGGTCGTGGAAGAGGAGGAGGCCGACGAGGTTGCTTGCGAGACCGAGCGAGCCGACGACGACGACGAGCTTGGGGTTGGACACTTCGGTGACGTTGACGAAGCGCTCGATAGCTTCCATAAAGATGCTGAAGCAGAGCGCGAGGAGGAAGACGCCGTTGACGAGGGCGCCGAGGATCTCTGCACGCTGCCAGCCGTAGCTGAAGCGGTGGTCGGACGACTTTGTGGAGAGCTTCACGGCCCACAGCGCGACGACGAGCGACATGACATCGTTGAGCATGTGGAACGAGTCGGCGACGAGGGCGAGCGAACCGACGGCATATCCGGTGATGATCTCGACGAAGAAGAACACGACGTCGATGACGAGGAGCGTGATGATGCGCGTTTCCTTGCTGAGCATGATGGCGGCGGCTGGATGTTGGGGGGAGAGACGAGGAAAAGGGAGGGAGGATTTCCAGACTGAGCTGGAATCAAGCACAGTGTCCGTCAGGCTCGATGACAAGCAGACGGTAGCCGATGTGGATGGCGGTGGTGATGAAGGGGCGGATTCTGAGGAATGCGGCTCAGTTTGGCTTGGCTTTGCGACGGCGTGTTTGCGTTGGATTCTTGAGTTTGGCGCAGTGCTGCTGTGCTCCTGTGCTGCAGTGCTGCCGTGCTGCCTTCGTAGCTGCGCCCTTTGGAAATATGGAGCGCGCATACGAACCGCAAACAGCTCTTTTTCGATTTTCAGAGGGCTCTCTCACCGAGCACGCCGCTCCTTTTTTTCTTTTTTTTTTTT